TGTCCGTTACGCACAAACTGAGAAGCGCGCTCTGGAACTAGAAGTGTAGTGTCTCGAGACGAACATAAATGAAGTCTCCATTTGTGAGCTTTGTGAGCGAGTCTTCGGGGGGTGGGGTGGTTAGAGAAAAACTTTGTTGGGAGGTGAAAATATTTTTTTTATAGTGGGCTGGTGGATGAACGGGAGGGTAACCCTTTCTCTCCGCTTTTAGCTTGCTGGTGGGTTTAGGGTTGGGGAAGATTAAGTTCTACGAGTATTGGGTGGCTTCCCGGGCCTCCCGCGTACCGTAGGTGTCAAGGCGAGTGAGGTCAGACTGAATCGGATTTTGGCTTTTCTGCTTCCTCACTCCTTTTCTGCTGTTGGCTCAAATATTTTGTTTCTGGTTCCTTGTTCCACTGCTTTTTTTGTTTTTTCTTCAGGTTAAGAAATACGGAATCTGCTAAAAAAGTGCAAAGGCTTTGGAGACCCGTCCCACTTGTCCAATCCTATCTCAGTCACCTACACACTCTGAATTCAACTCAAATATCCTGATCTCCCAAAACCCATTGGACTGAGAAAGAAAAACAAAAGATATCTCCAACAATGGCGACCCTACAATCCAGCATTTCAAGCACTTCTTGCTCGCCCGCCATAATAATTCCCTCCACCTCGCTTACAATCTCCTACCCGACGCTACAGAGTCTTATATCCAATTTCCAAAAGAACCTCGCTGCAATCGGGATCACGCCCCAATCACCCGTGTCAATTACACTCCCGAACAATCTTGAGTTCATAGTTTCCTTCTTGGCGACGGCTGCACAAAGGGGCATTGCGGCACCATTGAACCCCGCGTATAAACAAGGTGAATTTGAGTTCTTTATTGGCGACGTCAAGAGTAAGCTTGTTGTTGTTCCGAGGGGAGCGGTGAGTGCGGGTGCTCCGGCGGTTTTGGCAGCCAGGAAATTTGGGGTTGCAGTTACCGAGGTTTGGTGGGATGATCAGAGAGGTGAGGTTTGCTTGGAGCTTTTGGAGAAAGGTGGGCTGGAGGATGGGGTCAAGGTTGAGGGGGCGGAACCTGAAGATGTCGCGTTAGTTCTACACACTAGCGGGACTACGGGACGGCCCAAAGCTGTGAGTCCTCTGTTAGGAGGCGAAGGAGGCAAGGGGAGGAGCTTGGGCTGACTGAAGTAGGTGCCTTTGACACATAAAAATTTGGCTAGGACTATGGGTAAACTTATCCGAAATTGTTTTGGAGAGCTTTACTAACTGAATTTAGGCAACATTGTGCAAACATACAAGCTTACCCGGGAGGATAAAACCTATTTGGTTATGCCTTTGTAAGCATTTATCTTTCGTTCCGTTATGAGCTATATACAGAGTTTCTAGAACTAATTGAAGGCATCTTTTAGATTCCACGTGCATGGCCTTTTAGCAGGTTTGTCGCTCAAGCTCGAATCGGGCCGTTTGGAATGGGCTGGAAGCTAATGGAACCAGGTTTCCTCGCCCCTCTCCAGTCCGGAGGGACTGTAATCGTTCCAGTCAAGTTCTCTGCCAACGACTTCTGGAAGGATTTTATCAAGTTCAGGGCCAATTGGTACACAGCTGTAAGGTCCCTGCAAAAGTTTCCTGCCAAAAGAAGCAAAGTCTAACCTTACCAGGTTCCCACAATCCATCAAATCCTGCTCAGGAGCCCTTTTCCAGCTCGAATTCCCCCAATCCGTTTCATCAGGTCCTGCTCTTCGCCACTTTCGCCCACAACCTTCTACGCCCTTGAAGAGACTTTCAAAGCACCCGTTCTCGAAGCGTATGCCATGACCGAAGCTGCTCATCAGATGACCTCAAATCCCCTCCCTCCGGCCAAACGCAAACCAGGGACCGTTGGCCTCGGCCAAGGAGTCGAAGTCGCGATTCTAGATGCAGACGACAATGAGGTTCCTCAAGGCAAAGAAGGCGAGATCTCCATCAGAGGCGTCAATGTAACCAAAGGATATATAAACAACGAAAAGGCCAACGCAGAATCATTTACTCCCAGAGGCTTCTTTAGAACTGGAGATCAGGGTAGGAAGGACAAAGACGGGTATGTGATCATCACAGGGAGGATTAAAGAATTGATCAACCGCGGTGGCGAGAAGATTAGTCCCATTGAGGTCGACAACACCATCAGCTCTCACCCAGCGGTCGGCGAAGCTGTAAGCTTCGCTATTGACAGCGAGATGTATGGACAGGAGGTTGGGGCCGCGGTGGTGCTCAAGGGTGGAAGGAAGGTTACGGAAGGAGAATTAAAAAAGTATGTCGGAGAGAAGTTGAGCACGTTTAAGGTTCCAACCAGGATCTGGTTTACCGAGCATATGCCTAAAACTGCGACAGGGAAGATACAAAGGAGGATTGTGGCTGAAACTATGCTGAAGGGGGATAAACCAAAGGCGAAGTTGTAGACTTGTACATAAGTTATTACAGCGAGCGTGGTATGATTCTGTTTTTTATTCACTAAGTCGTGCTTCAGTGCTTTGGTAGAACTGGGAATATAATAATTTACATATGTTTAACTGGCATGCTTCTTGAAAATTATGAGTGTTGGTCGCAATGTATCGTTTCCTCTATCATACAAGGTGCTGGTGTCTTTCACCCGAGTGATGATGCATGAACGCATAAAGAATATAAGTTGTGATGGTGTCGCTCAAGCCCATTTTACAGGCTAAGCAATATGATATACCAGTAGTGCAAATGGGCTCGAACCGGGTCCCAAAATCAAGTAAAACCCGATGTCTAACTAGTTAAACAAGGGATTTTAAATAAAAGAAATAGAGCAGCCAAGGAAAACTGTTTCTGACCCACCTTCTATGCACTTTGCACCGCAACAGCTTGGGTGTTCCGGGCCGTAAATTTTCACAAGTCGGCCGCACATCAAGGAGGGGAGTGAAAAAAAAAAGCTGACTTTCTTCAATTCCAGTATACCCGTTACCGATATCCCCCTGTAATTGTTACTGTAATTAACAAACTCGTAATTGATTTAAGCAAGATTTCTAATTTTTTTAATTTTTTTATAAATAATTTGTTCTCAATTTAAAGCAGCATGCTAAAATGAAATGAAATAAAATTTAATAAATAAAATAGAACAAATAATAATTTAATAAATAAACAAATAAACTACCAATTCCACTCCCCCGCTACTAGAAACCCATGGGACCAGTATACGGCACGCATGGGTTTAGATCCACTCCCAACTCCTGATCTGTTAATCAGAAGATTTTCGGCGCATACTGTCATAACAGTTAAAGCGCTATCCTTCGCCTATTGAAATAACTATTGTTAGTTAAATTATACTCATTAAAAAGCTTTATATAGTACAAGTATGAAAAAGAAAAAGAAAAAAAGGTTGGAATCTTACTTTCACAGCAAGGGAAACCCAGTTGGTTGGTGGGGTGATTCACTGCATACAGGTTTTCCCCATAACTGAATAAAAGAGGATTGGGGAGGGCAAACAGTTTCCAAGGAACCTGAAATTACCGGCCCATCCCCTCCTCTTGCATCCCAGTAGGGGTATACCTATTTTATTGGGGCTTGTGTATTGCACCCACCCCACCCACTACCATATTCCAAATGCAGTGCTTTGGTTCAAAGCACTGCATCTACTCCTTTAATTAGTATTTATATTGTAGATTACTAGATATATGGAAACTTACTAGGAGTTTAATGGTAGCTCCAGCAAAATGCATAAGCATTCTAGTTGGGCATGGAGAACAGTCAACCACTTGTTTGGTGGTTTGTATCTCCACAGACTATTAAATAAGCTAAATTAGTACTTAGATGTATTTGTAAATGAGAAAAAAAGAGGAAATTAGTAGAATACTAACAGTGCCATAGTAGAATAATACTAGGCAAGCAGGAGACAATGAATCCTGGGCAAAGACCCAGGTAAAGTCCTGGGTTCTAGTCTCCTGCTTGCCTCTTACTATTCTTTCCCTCTTAATTGCTATACCTCCCAAGTGTGCTAGAAGGAAAATACAATTTCAGCACTACCAGGGAGGTATGGTTGCAGTTGGGTACTATATAGTACTTGCAGTACTATTAGTAGCAGAAATTCTTAGTCAATTTTTCAACAATCAAAACCTGGTGTAGATCAAATAGAAATAACAGGAACCAATACTAAACATACCTATATTTCCTCTGAGGGAAATGCACCAACAAGCAGTGATAAAAATAGGAGCCATAGAGAGTATGGCCCCTATAAATGATGAGAATGGGGGGGTGGTGGAAATGGTGATAGTGAGGGGGGAGTAAAAGAAAGAAAATGTCTCCCCGGCCAGTGACTGTTAACAGTCAAAGGCCGGGGGATTTAACCTCAAAGAGGTATAATACCACATCCTCATGTGGTATGGCATATACCTGCCAGAAGGGAGAAATGATGAATGATGGCCTGCAGAGGTAGAAGCAAAGAGTGCCATGAAAGAAGCTTGAACGAGGTGGAGAAGAAGAAAAATGGAAAGAGGAATGGTGCGGACAGCATCCTTAAATGTTCATCGGGAGGACAAAAGCAGTCATCTGTGTGCGTTCGGGTTCACCGTGGCCGTCAAGGGCATTGTACCCGCTCGAATATACCGGGTTGGGGTCCGAGACCGTAAGTGGAGATATTGGGAGCCGCTTCCTATCATAGTATAGCACTCGGAGTTACCTGGAGCCATGTGTGCTTAGACTTAGAAGAAAGGAAGGTTTTGGTATATGGACTCGGACTCGGACACATGTGGTATTTGCCATGAGCTAGTCTGGCTCGTGAGGGAATGGGCTCGAGCTACTCGAGATTTACCATGAAGCTCGAGCCTGAATTTTTTAGTATACGTAGGATATCACTTGCTTAGCAAGGTTGAATGAAGGTGGAGCTATATGGTAGACTCATGGGCGGAAAAAAATAACATTCAAGGTGGGGAATACAAAAAAAGGGGGGGAGGGGGGGGGGGAACAAAAATACTCCACGTTGGGTTTGATCTAAGTCGAACCCGGGAACAAAGGGGCCCCTCCACTTATTGGGAAAACAAATCC